GCGGCTCCCCGTCCGACCAGAAACAGACCCGAGCGTACGACGCGTCAATAGGGCTGATGCCGATTCGGAGTCGCGGAGAACCTAACAGGTTACCAGGGCTCCGGCTCGAAGTGCAGAAGAAGGAACGGGGTGGTTTTTACTCAGTAAGAGTCTGACACGCCCTCCCGCCTCACCCAGACGAGAGAAGTCATTCGATGATTTTCCCCACTTAAAAAAACTACTTTTTGCCAAACAACATTCACCCACTTTAAATAGACATAAAGTTGAGATTCGAATAAATAAAACGCCGTAAACCACTCGAAGTAGTCGCGGTAAACAAACGCAGAAGTTTGCGTTCGGTTTAAGTTTTCTCTGGCGTCGTAGTGCAAACACATGGTTGCTACAGGCACTGTAAGTTTCAAATACATTTATTTGCCTTTGCGTATGAATACGGTTAAGATAGATCATTATAATAATTATTTTTTTAAATTTTATCTACGTTTTTGATTTTATTTTTTTTATTTATTTTATTTATTTATTTCTTCTTCACAAAATAAGGTGAATGGCGGACTTAATGCCTTAAGGCATTCTCTTACAGTCAACCATAGGGAAGAGCAGAGAAATGAAGTGGTTGATGCGAAGCCAGACAACAATAAAAAAAAATGTTATGTAATATGTATACTACACACATAAATACCTATTGAATAAATATATTAATACAATATTTTATAAATAGACATATACATACCATTTTGATTTTCGGGTACGATTGGCGGGTCAGGCAAAGTACTTGATTTAGGGTTTTTTTTTAAATGTCAGTAGTTGTACAGAGTTTGTGCCCGGTATATGGCAACTGCTCACCTCCTATTACATGGGACTCATAAGTGGATGTTACATTGTACAGTGGCAGTACCGAAATGTGCACCTCTACCCCTTCGGGGATTAAAGACGTGATGTTATGTTATGTTATCTACGTCTTTGAATAATTTACGATTGAAGATAACCAATTGGACTTTACAGAAGATTTTTTTTCACACACAAATCTTGGTTTTACAATTAATAAAAACTGACAAACAAAACCAAATAGAGCTGCTGTTTAAATGTACCTTTACTTAAACTAAAATAACAAAAAATAGATTATTTATAATTTTCTGATCACTGTTGGAATCTTGCTGATCACCTGGTGCCATTCGGACGTCGACCTCGTATAAACCAATAAATAAATAGAATATCATACATAAACAGAATATCATATATAAAATACTAATTCTATACCGATAAAAAACATATTAGCAGTACATATCAAATCGAGATCTTTTCGGTTCAAAATAACAACTCACATCAATGAGCGTAGTCACGCAACCGTCATCGAACGTTTTATTGAACTCCACTTAGCAAGTCTATTAACGCACACGCCCTTGAATTTTGTCGTGTAAACATAACAATACTGTGTTAGTATTTTAAAGTAGGTACATGATTATGTAACCCTTTATCAATCCTTACTGGTAGATATATTTTATATCAAGTACTGATGAACTTGTTTTTAATATCAAATGATTTTTCATTATTATTATTTGTGAAACAAAGGCCAAATACAAGCGTAATGCAGCCAGGGTCTATATCGTTATTTTCTTCGTTTATACATACTTATTGTATTTAAACCAGTAATTACTACGTGTATATACCATTCCCGGGACCACAGCGTCCCGGTCATTTAGGAGGCGTACGAGGTGCCGGAGCCAACTGTATGAACGTACGTAGACTATCCCTGTATGCACTATGGAAATGCACCTAAGAACAGTCCCCGGTTAGTGTAGAACTATTGTGGATAATGGGAAAAAAATACGGCTATGAATGGGTTGCTGTGGATTGGTAAATTGGATACTATGGAAGACTATAGCACCTGCCGAGACAATGTAATTTTATTACAGTACTATTAAATATTAATATTAGGTGCTATAATGTGGTGCTGTTATTATATAATACACTATTATCATTATTATTTGTTACCACTTTTACCCTATTCTTATTCATACCCCAAGTCGATTCTGAAATTCAATGTGTGACCCAAGTTTCGCATAAGTTCAATTTTAAAGTTCCGCTTCTAGTTTTAGTAATGAATCCTCGTAATTTATCAGAGTAATCAAGGTCTTATGTACTCGATATTGTTATAGAATATTGAGTTTTGTCAACAAGGAATAGATTATACAATTTATTACTTTTGATTAGATAACAGAAGTGCGTTTAGAATTGATAGATAATATTTTTAACTTCCTCGTGTCTGTTGCCACTGGCGATTATTGTATATCAGTATGTTTTAAAGCGATATGAAGAAATGATTGAGCATTTTTTTTTAAATAATCCGTTCATATATGCCAACAATGTTATTGTAATCAATTGATAGAAACACCAAACCTTTAGATAAAGATTTCGATATGTCATGTAGAACCAAATACTGTTCAATATTCAATCCTATCATTTTGTGACAAAGTCGCAATTTGTTTGCGTGTTCTATTGTTAGGATACTCTAGTGTTGTTTTGTCCTTACTTCCTAATACTATTTAGGAGGTATTGCACAATATTGTGACACTGGACTTTAGTACACATTACAATGCAAAATATAACAGATACGGTATATTTTTGTATGAAAAGCTAAAAAATATTGTGCAATATTTATACCGTGAAGAGATCAGTTTGATTTTAAACTAATTTGTTTTTGCTATGGCAACTTTTGTGGGCTGGAATAATTTAATAAATATAACATCATACATAACATCACGCCTTTTGTCCCCGAAGGGGTAGGCAGAAGTGCACATAATGCCACTGTACAATGTAACACCCACTTTTCATTATTTATGTTATGCATCCCTTGTAATAGGGGGTGAGCCTATTGCTATATACCGAGCACAATTTCAGACTCCGTGCTACTACTGAGAATTTATAAAAAAGCCCAGTAATACTTTGCCCGACCCGGAAATCGAACCCGAGACCCCTTGCCCGGCAGTCACACTTACGACCACTCGGCCATCGAGGCAGTCGTTTCATAAATACATTTTTGTATTTATTACGTCGTGGCATTTAATTACTATATTGTCTATTGATAAGCGATGAAGGAGCTGACCCTTATTGATACATAAAGTCCAGGTGTAAACTATTCATCAATACAAATTAATCAAGCCCAAACACAGTATACCTCCTGTAAATACTTAAGGAGTTCCCTTAATACTTTAACTGCCAAGTTTAAAATGGTGAAAGTCAAACCTCCACTAGCGTCAGGCACCGGTGACTGACGTGGCGCTCTAAGGGCTGCGCTTTTTTCCATCATCAGATCCCTGATCACAGACACATTTATTTTTTTGATATGATGTTTGATCATTCCAGATAAATTTAGCCCAGATCAGTGTATCTGCTCTAAATCACTGAGAAATGCCCTCAATTGTCTTTCCAATCCAGTAAGACAGACTCTAGACATTCACTAATTTAATAAGTATCACTCACGAAAGTTTTAATATAAACATTCACTAAGTTGTTGGGTTTTTAAAATTATACTTACCTAATAAAACAATTTACAAACAGCCTAGTTGTCTCAACAATAGGTACTCGAAAGTTCTCCTCGATTTCCAGATTTTCTTATCATCAGACCCTGACTTGGTGACAATTTGACTACATTAGAAATACCATCTTGAAAGATGGTACTTTAAAAACAAATCAAATTTGGTTAATCCAGTCGAATGTTCTGTCTGTGCTAACAAACAAAATAAAAATACAACAGCCAAATATCGAACTGCCTGTGGATAGTGATGACCAATATTTTTTATGTTTGTTTTAATATGGCAACAGATTATATGGCAGACATTAGTGGAAAAAGAAATGACAATAAGTAAGTATTTAGGCAAAGATATTAAATAGTATTAGCCCTGCTTACCACCAGTTGTTTGGTACACTTCATGAAATGGTTTAAATCTAATATGTATTTATCATTATTGCCATAATTCATAAACAAGACTAATGTAATGCAATATCGCATATTATAATCTTTGAGTTTTATTTTGCATACGTGTGTATAGCGATTTATTTCATCACAAATGATTCTTGTACTGCGCGAAGTTTCTTGTGCACACCATACTTTGACGTTTGTCAAATATCGTCTTGTTGCTCCGGAAATTTAAGACGCCCGCTTCATATGTATAAAGGCACGGATTCGAAACCAACAACGGAAAGTACCAATGTGACTTATTCCGAGTTAAATGTATGTACTTTCTAAAATTATTTAGACAAACGGTGAAGGAAAACATCGTGAGAAAATCAGATTTCTAATTATAAGTTTGAGCAAGCGTGGTGATTAATGCTCAAACCTTCTTTGTGAGAAGAGGCCTTTGGTCGGCAGTGGCCACTTATAGGCTGTTGATGATGATGAAGATACAGTATCCCTAAATATTTACTGTTAAAAAGACTGTAGACTCTTCAACAAAAGGGGGTTTGTCATAATGGTCCTTAGCAAGAGAGTTGGAGAACGCAGTTTAATTGAATCTGGTTTATTAGCGAACACTGCTACTTAGTATCGGGTAAATAATAATTATGTAGTACCTAAATCGACTTTTTGACACTCGAAGCGATGATAATGACAAAATGTATTCAACTCTGCTGTCACCAAAATCATAGGCTAATAAATGCAGCGGTTAATTTTAAAAATAACGAACTATTTTGCATTTCTTTTTCATGTTTATTTTGTTGTTAAGTTAATTCAACATTAACAACAGATTACAAATCTAATAGATGTAAATAAGATAACTCTTCGATAAGAATATTTGCTGTTGAAGTAGTGTCTCGTCTTTGGAGTACCACGTCAGTGCAAAATAGTAAATATTGAGCCACGTCAGTCTCAGTAGGTTAAGCCCACTTTTTATCGAAAATCTAACTACATATAGATACGCCGGTGATTGAACTCCAAAACATACGGATTACCTTCAGTGTGGCGTTGACGGTCGTACGCATCAGTACGTTGACTCACTCGTAAGACAATGAAGATATTTATCTATTTAATTCTGTGTCTTAGCATATTTGCTAGTCATGATGAAGCAGCAAGAATTTTGGCAGTGTTTCCGAACCCTTCAATCAGCCATCAAGTGGTGTTCAGACCTTTAACACAAGAACTAGCTAAAAGAGGCCATGAAGTTACTGTCATCACAACGGATCCAGTCTTTCCTGAAGGCAAGGCGCCAGCGAATTTAACAGAAATCGATGTCCATGATATTTCTTACGATATATGGAAGAAAATATTCCTGGCATCAACTAAAGGAAACAAAGATGATGTTTTCATGGCCATGAGTGCTATAGTTAATGCATTAACAGCAGTAGTAGACGTTCAACTAAAAGATGAAAGAGTGCAAAATTTGATTCGTGATAAAGGCAAACAGTTTGATCTCCTACTCTTGGAAGCTTGTGTAAGACCAGCCTTAGTATTTTCTCATATTTACAAAATACCAGTGATTCAAATAAGTTCATTTATGGCTACGTTTGACAACTACGCTAATATTGGTGCGCCGATACATCCATTCCTGTATCCAGCATTGACAAGACAGAGGCTGCAGAATCTGACTATGATTGAGAAAATCAAGGAATTTTATAACGATTTTATGCTTAATAGATTATACGCTAATAACATGGAGAAAGAGAATGAAATGCTTCGTTCACATTTTAAAGACATTCCTCCAATTTCTGAATTGAATAATAACGTGGACATGCTGTTTCTTAATGTGAATCCAATGTTTGAAGGGATACGACCAGTGCCTCCATCTGTTGTGTATTTGGGAGGTTTACATCAAGTACCTCATAAGCCGTTGCCAAAGGTAAGGGGTTTTTTTAAATCTTAATATTATAAGAGTAGAATGAAAAAACGCCATTGTAAACGAATCAGTGTATATAAGACCGTATCGATGACCTTGATCTAATTCCATCGACCTTCAGAACAAAGCAAGTTTCCATAGTAACATATGGGTAGATAACATTATTTTTATCTGCCCGAACTGCCCAATAATATTTATAGAAACACTTATCATTCGTTAAATGACTGGCGTATCTATATCTAGATACACCCAAATAAAACTACACAGATAAGAATTATATTTATTGAAAACATTTAAAAAATAATAATACATGATTGGTCTGAATTCCAGGATCTCCAAACCTATATGGATTCCTCTAAAAATGGAGTGATCTACGTAAGCTTTGGCACAAACGTGGATCCAACTAAACTACCAGCTGACAGGATTGAAGTTCTCGTGAAGACACTGTCTCAGTTACCTTACGATATTCTATGGAAATGGAATGGTGATGTTCTGCCTGGACGCACGGATAATATTAGGATCGCAAAATGGCTGCCACAACCAGACATTCTCAGTAAGCTCTCCATAATTTATTAGTCATTTCTTACTTATCCTTAACCCTTTGAGTACCGACATTATAGACACAATTAAAGAACAATAGGTTGCGGTCACCGGTGGTTTAAACGTATTCCTTCATCAACTCTATTAAATCCATCTTCTACTTATCATCTTCTCGACATACATTTACTATTTTGGAAAACCCCAATCCATTTTTAGTACATAAAAATGACTTTCATATCATTTCTTCCATTCTTTACGTAAAATCCATTAATGATGATGATATCGACGAATCAAAGACCTTCTCACATATTACATTTATCATCCTTTTCTACCAACCCATATCCCATAATATCCTCAGTAAAGTTGGGATGCTTATAATTTTTGTCTTTACTTTACAGTTCATCCAAAACTAAAGTTGTTCATCACTCAAGCTGGTCTGCAGTCTACAGATGAGGCCATAACAGCTGGAGTGCCTCTAGTTGCCATACCTATGTTTGGAGACCAATTTTTCAATGCTGAGAGATATGAAAACTTCAAGATCGGCAAAAGACTGTCCATGGACAGTCTGACTGTGGGAGAATTTACTAATGCTATCAACACTGTTATTAACGATGAAAGGTGAGAATCGTATGCAAAAGAGGCATTCTTTTTATGGTATAGGACGGCAAATGACGGATTATAAACATGGTGGTAAGGAATCAACGCCAACCAATGTTTACTTGCAACTCCGGAGGAGTAATAAATGCGTTGCGGATTTAAGGGATTTGGGGTAGTGGGGACGAGGAATTGGTTTCTCCAGTACATTTACTTACCCATCCATAATACATGCATTATTTCACGCTTGTTTCCTACTATAAGGTCGTGGTATCGCTTCGGTTTAGCTGGCCTATTAGTGTCGAAAAGCTCTCCTACGTAACAAAGTAATGGGATTATTTGCCAGAGTCTGTATTTCCTGAAGGGATGTCTTCAAGGCCTGAGTGAATAAGTTGCTTATGGGATGATGTGCTCCAACGCAGACCGCCGTCAGCGACCCATCAATTATAAAAAAAGGGTGATAAAATCGGTTAGAAGCAAAACTTATAACAAAAGATGTCGATGACACGTACTTAAGATCAGCTTACAAATATAATATCTACCTTGAATAATAATTCTGTCCAGATCACAATTTGCCTATTGTATGTACCGTAGCGTGGGTCTAATCACATTTTTATTACATTTTTCAGTTACCGAGAGAACATTGTAAAATTGCGCACCCTGATACAAGATGAACCAATGTCGCCTCTAGAGCGCGCTGTATGGTGGACGGAGCACGTGCTGCGTCACGGCGGCGCGAGATATCTGCGTGGACCTGCAGCTAACATGTCGTGGGCAGAGTACCTCGAACTAGAATTAGTGTTCACCTTACTATTAGGAGTATTAGCAATAATTTCAGTATTATTTTTAATACTTAGGTCTTTGTACAAAATTGTTTTTGGTAGTACTGTGACCAGTAAACCTAAAAAAGCGAAACGTAGTTAATGATTTTTATTGTAACTTTCGTGAGACATACTAAATAAATTATTATGTTTTCGGCTTACTCATATGATAATCAGTAGCAGCGCGACCACAGAACTTAAAAAGAAGGCTATAATGTTCTGTGAGCGCGACAGTCGGCGCATCGCGGGTCGCAAAATGCTGCTCATGAATATGAGCCTCTAGCATGGCTTGAAATTAGTCGAGTTCCTCGTCGAATTATTACGTGAGTAAGCTGAAAACTTAATAATTTATGTAGTTAATCATATTTAGTATGTTATTTTCACGTTAGTAATTTGTTGTAAATATTTAGTTTCCAATCAATAGGTACTACTGTAACCAATCCGATATTGTTAATTGTTTGATTTAAATAAACTGTACATAAAGCTAGACTGATACATTTAGATGCGTATACATTTATTTTTGCCTCGTAGGCCGAGTGGCAAGCGACTGTGGGTCTCGGGTTCGATTCCCAGACTGGTAAAGTATTACTAAGTTTTTTATGAAATCCTCAGCAGTAGCACGGAGTTTGGAATTGTGACCGGTATATGGCAATATGCTCACTCTCTATTACATAGGACTCATAACATAAATATTAAAAAGTGGGTGTTTCATTGTACAGTCGCATTAATGTGCAACTCTGCCTATCCCTTTGGGGATAAAAAGCGAGATGTTGTGTTATGTTATATTTATTTTTCTCCTTGATATCTATTTTCTGTGCTTTTTCTGTTCCCAAAAGGCGATTACTAGCAGGCGATCTATCGACGCATTTTTCAATAATAAATGAAGGCCACATACCAACAAATGCAGCATAGGATGGCCAAAAAAAGTAAAGAAAATCAGCTGAATTCATCTGGAAAGATCATAGAGAATCTCTTTAAGCATCAGCTTAAAGAGATTCTCTATCAAGCTATCAAGCTTTCCCGGGGCCGTCATTCTTAGGAGGAGCACACACATGCACGTCAGAAGGCTTAAAACTATGCTGATGATGTATTTACCGAATGCAATGATAATATTTGAAATAACTACTAGAAAATTATCGATTAGAAAATAATCGACTAGAAAATTATCGATAAATAAATAATAATAAGTAAACCATGGGCGGCGCTGATCGCCTTACCATCAGGTGATCCGACAGCTCGGTGCTCGTTTGCCTCCTATTCCATAAAAAAAGATAATCAAAAATAGTTGAATTTAAAATTCATGTGACATTGATTAAAAATATGTATAAAGTTAGAATAGTGGGTCTATTATAATCCGGTAGTTGGCAGGTAATCAAATTCGATACGTTTTTTGAAATGTCAAAAACGATACATTTGTAAGAATTTTGTATTGGATCGCAACTTATGACATCATATTTCTGCGTCAAATAGCATACTTATTTCCTTAAAATTAGTGAGAAAAAATCCAAAAGTAGGTAAATTGTCAAATCAATGGATGAGAGTATGATTATTTTTTAACTATTTATTGCATTGAAAAGTTAAAACAATTTATTTTAAACCTAGAAAACTAGCCAAAATACTGCAGTTGGTGATGGCTGATGTGTGCCTTACCAAATACAAATAGCTATAAATACAGTTCCATCATAAAAATTGATAACCAAATGTGTAATATTGCTATTAGAATTCAAAGAGGCACTCTAATTTTCATATACCTACATGTGACCAGCTGGCATACATAGATAATGTACCACTTTACATGTTTTTTATCGTCTAAGCATTATCATCATCATCAACAGCCTATAAATGCCCACTGCTGAGCAAAGCCTCTTCTCACAAGGGGAAGGTTAGAGCATTAATCACCACGCTTGCTCAATGCGGGTTGGCGATTTCAAACTTATAATTAGAAATTATAAGTTCAGGTTTCCTCACGATGTTTTTCCTTCACCGTTTGTCAGTGGTGTCTAAATAATCTTAGAAAGTACGTATAACTCGGAAAAAGTCACATTGGTACTTGCCGTTGGTAGGTTTCGAACCCGCACCCTCATGCATGAGAAGTGGGCGTCTTAAACCTCCGGGCCACCACGACAACTAGCACGCATTAGACTCTAAGCATTATGCTAAGTAAAAATTAGATGAGGTTTTAATTGGTAGAATGTGTTTAAGCTTCTGCCATTGCTCAATTAGTGCTGCAATCGACTATTACAATAGGGAAGATGATTAATTTTTCTTTTTATGTCCGTCTGGTAGATTACTTTAAATCATTAGACACGTATTAATTATTTATTTACAGAAACGAATACTTTCGACGATATATTGATTTGAAATGTCGCGTGACGTCACTTCTATGAACATTTTATGTGTAGAAATGACTTTTAGCCCCCACTCCTAAACTTTGATTCGTTTTATCTAAGTATTGTTTTATTACTTATATGACAAAATAAAAAAATACGTGTCTAATATTTTTTCATTACGGACTAATTAGATTTTTAATTTTCATACCCGGTCATCATCCCAATTGCTATATACCTAATACCACACTCTGTACATTTTACTAAAAAAAAAATATTAGGTGTCTGATAACTGACACGACGAAACACAATGCAAGCGCTGTTTCACGTCGGTTTTCTGTGAGCCCGTGGTATCACTCCGGTCGAGCCGGCCCTTTCGTGCCGAAGCATGGCTCTCCCACACTTGATTGTTATACTAGTTCAGCAAGTTTTAAAGCGATAGCAAGTAATTATTAAGCATTTTTATAATCCTGATGACTGATAGTTATAGATATACAAAGATAAAGATATCAATATTTCATGTTCAATTTTCCATTCTATTACAATACAAATTCAACTCTATAGTTTTGTGTCAAAGTCGTAAATCGATTGTTGAAATTTACTATTTTTAGTTTAGGTACTCTGAATTGCTGTCGTCTTTACTTCCTACAACAAATCAGAACAGTTCTTATCACTAAGAGTATTGCACAATATTATGACATTGGATTATAGACGTTACACAGCAAAATATAAGAGATATAATGATTGTTATATTTTTGTCTTAAACATTACATAAGGTGGCGCAATATTATATCACTATGTGCTGGTGTGATCTCTTAGGTTTTTTTTTTAATAATGTTTGATTTTTCTACTCGTTTTTGTTGACTGAGATAATTATAAATACCACACATACACACACATTCTTTTAACAACTTTGCTCAACACTATTATTGTCTCCTGTGTCGTGGGTGCGTTTACAAACATACAAGTTCACATACACATGACACTCAGACCAGAAACAACAATTTGTGGATCACACAAAGTTGCTACGCGGGAATTGGGATGATGACAGGGTATGATAATTAAAAATGTAATTAGTCCGTAAGTTAGGTAATGAGAAAATATTAGACACGTATTTTTTATTTTGTTTCATAATAAAATGATACTTAGATATAATGAATCAAAAGTTTAGGAGTGGGGGCTAAAACGTCATTTCTACGTATAAAACGTACATAGAAGTGACGTCACGCGACATTTCAAATCAATATATCGTCGAAAGTATTCGTTTACGTAAGAAAATAAAAAATACGTGTCTAATGATTTAAAATTATCAACCAGACGGACATTAATAAAAATAAAAAATAAAAAAAGTTTATTTCAATTACAAAAGGCATTACAAAAAAATTATTGGAGATCACCTTTTAAGCAATGGATTGCTTGTGTTAGGAGTACATTAAAATAAAAATTAGGCATCTACCCTATTGAACTCGCTACACTTTGTAGCAGCCGGTTGCCCAGCCACTGCACTAACCGTGCAACTACTGAAAGGTAGACAATATTTAATATTCAGAGCCCAGCACATAAAACTCATCACTTTTAAACCTTAACACAAAACCGTAACGCACAAAATCCAATAAAGAAATTCAATTTACGGTAGTTTAACGACCTTCCCTTTGTAGAGGTATAGTACCCAAAAATACTGGTATAATCTTTTAAATCCCAAATGAGTTACCCACGAACCGTCATATCAAATTCTCGGTTCCCATTCACGTGGAAATTTATCGTGGACGCCATATTTCACACCAAAACGGGGGAGATTCAGTTATCGTCGACTCTTGTCATAAGTAATGGGAGTACAAAATCTTTTGACGTTGGTTCTTGTTTAACTCGTCGAGTACCGGTTTTATAGACACAATTAAACCGTCAAACACCAAGCGGTCACCGGTGACCGCGACCTATTGTTCTTTAATTGTGTCTATAAAACCGGTACTCGCGAGTTAAAGAACAATAGGTCGCGGTCACCGGTGACCGCTTGGTGTTTGACAGTTTAAAGGATTCTCAACTCTAAATGTAGATGGATATAATGATCATTCTAGAATGGCAGTTTGATTTTGTAGGACTTTATAAGGAGAAATTGTATTGTCTGATTTTAAATCATTAAGAATCAATAAGTCACATTTTTTAATTTATATTATAAACTAGGTGTTGCCCGCTACTTCGTCTGCGTAGAATATGACTTTTAGGACGTAAGTTTTTTTATAAATTTTCCAAAATTAATGTTGCCTTGTTCTATTACATGGGACTCATAACATAACTTGATAAGTGGGTGTTACTTCTGTGTGCACCTCTACCTACCCCTTCGGGGATAAAAGGCGTGATGTTATGTTATGTTATATCATACATACCTACTTATGGTGATAACATAATTATACAGTTCATCGCTATTTACTACATAAATAATGAATTAATACAATAATAATAACAATAAAATTTCATAATATATTATTAAAATTACTTCATTGACAAAAAATGTCTGCCGTTATCATACACTAAATAGGTACAGACGTGAATAGGTCAACCAACTTCATACTATCTACATTTTCAATTAACTTTCGACTTTAAACATACAATGATAAAGTCACCATTCCATTGTCTGACATCACCTTTGCAGACATTTAATTCAACATTTTGATAAGGTATACAAATCATGGAACAGTCAAAACTTTGTTTTCAGTCAGATTTGAATAAATGAAGGTTATCGTACTTAACCACTTAAATGTCCTTTAACACGGTAATATTATCATACAGTAGTGTAAGTCAGCCGCATGACACAGTTAAATACCTTTTTGTTTTTTTTTTTGTTGACGGGGGGAAACCTTCCAAAGCTAGGGGATGTGGGATTTAACCTCACTAAAACCTCCCCGGTGGCCACCATTCGCACTTGAAGGAGGCACCGGGTCCTCTTAGTAGACCAACTCCGGAGCCCCCACAGTGCAACGCCAGAGTTAAAAATACCTACAGCCACGAGGTACAGTTTTTTTTAAAAAACCACACAAAGTCTGTTCGTCACTGTGGTACAGTCGTGACGCGCTGCCTCCTCACAACCCAACCGTCGCGAAGGACACTCCGGGTGTCGGGGACCCCGAGATGATCTCCGGCCACTGTAAGCGCGGGCCTGCGGCCGGCGAGCGTGGGTAGCTCGCCGCCCGACCAGAACCAGACCCGAGCGTACAGCGCGTCGCGTTCCGCGTGCGTTTCAAAGGGCAATCAGACCACCGCGGATGGGGCGCAATAGCACTGATGCGGAGAACTTAATGGGTTAAGGGGCTCCGGCTCGAAGTGCAGGACTACTCCTGACTACTGACTAAAAGAGTCTGACACCCCCTACCGCCTCACCCAGGCGGGAAAAGTCATTCGATGATTTCCTCCCCTTAAAAAAAACACCCCGAGCGCACCCCGACATCCAGGCGCATAGCTCCCATTTCGTCCGTTTGTATGAAGTGGGAGTACTGAATAATATTATTAAGGTGCCGTGATGAAACCAGTTTAATTTAATATTCTTAAGATAATACGAAGCATAAGTATACAGCATATCACGCTGTATATAAAGCTTCAAAGGGATTACCAGTTTTGTACGTATTAAATGTACCTACTTAATATTCAATCTACATCAAATCTTCGCCGACATAGTACATGACGAATATTTCCTAGTAATGCTTGGCTTTACCCAAGAATTCAACACAATGTCGTTTGGTAGTCATTTGTAACTACTTACATACATACATATCTTCACGCCTGTCTCCCATGATAGGCAGAGACTAAGGAATGCCAATTTAGAGTAGACTTCTAACCTATCAGTGGGTGTGTAACCTATCAGTACTAATATTAATAATAGTTATTTTTCACTTTTTGACTTTTTCTTTGTTTATTGTTTTTGGTTTTTTAAAGTCGGTTTTTTTATGGTTTTTTGAAGTAAATTTTTAAAAGCAGTTTTTATATTTTTTAAACGTGTCTCTTATCAATTCGACACTTGATACCTAGATAGATAGGTAAATTACTAGATAGTAATTTCACATATTTCTTATAAGTTCTAACTACACAACATTATCTACGTACCTACGTACACACGGCCACACATCAATCTATACAAAACCAGTTTATCCTGGTGTCGCGTCGCATCATTTTTCCGCACATTTAACGTTCAGTTTATACTGGTTATGTAAAGCTTTATGTGTAGCTGTGTGTACCATTGATTGATTAAAACAAGGAAATGCATTAGTTCGTGATTATTGTAAACACTTCACATACTGCGCAAGACACGTGTTTTGCACAAACATAGGTACATATCTAAAGTAATTACAGAATCTATGTAATACATAAACAGTACTTATATTTTACTAGCTTTCTACCAGTGATTTCGTATGCACAAATAGGTGATTCCCGTTTTTAACATCGCCATGGGAACTTAGAGAAATCCTCCTATTAGCACATTAAACACCATGGGGGTCACCGGTGACTGACGTTAGCGGAGGATTTCCCTTCATCAGTTTTCTAATGGCAGTCAAAGGTTTAATGTTCCTCAAGAAGAACACATGCGAAATTTCAGTTCTCTGCGACCAATAATTTCGACTGTGCGTTGTCTATCAATCAGTCAATCACTCACAGTCATTGATATTTTTGTAGTTAGATTGCGATTTTATGATCAAAACCAAAAATGTTGAATATCTCAAAATCTAGCTAATTTCAGACTATGGACCTGAGGTCCTTAGTCTGAAATTGGCTACTTTTGTAGGAAATTAGTTGTATTATCACCTCTCTAGAGGAATACGTCGAGTTACAAAGTCGCCCTGTATACGTACATAGATTACGTTATTCTGCTATTATGCTGAAGGTTTGAACCAATCTAAAAATATACCTACCTGTGTTAATAACTAAACTTTTTCTTTGACAGACCATGATTCCAAATGGTGACAGTCTTACAAACGTCCTAGTGTTTCCTATAATTTTAAAATAATTTAGTTACTACTAGCTGTTGCCCGCGACTTCGTCTGCATAGAATAATGACTTTGGCATAGAAACATATAGACTTTGACATAGAATAATGTCTTTTATATGTATATATAGATAGATAAGATTAACTTAAATTCGTATTTTTTTAAATGGTATTATAATCGTAGTTTTTTAGAGTAATGGTAAATAATAGTATGGTTTACTCAAAAATAACATTTAAATATGCTTCATTATACATATAACACGCCGTCACAGAATGCGTAGGTAAGATAAATAACGATTCACAGCTGCTCCTCCGTAGATGATAGCGTGATAATATGTAGCCTAAATGTTGACCCGACTTCTTAGGAATAGTCATGCAAAATTAGAAGTATATCCATGCAGGGCTTTTAGAGATCATCCCGGACATACATACAGACAAACAGACAAAAATTCCAAAAAACATATTCTTGGCTTCGGTATCGACTGCAGATCACGCCCCAAGTATTCTTTAAAAAAAATATTCAATGTACATTTTGATTTTTCTACGATTTTATTAATATGTATTGATATAGATTTTAAGCGGACTTATACTCGTGCCTATTTTTAAAAGTACATAATCGTGTTCTACGGTATTTATTTACACATGACGTCATTGAGCACGTTTCTATTGAATGAACTTTGTATCTCTGAAACAGCTGATAACCGTTGATAAAAACTTCATTATCTCTTAATTGTTGACTTCTAAATATTAGATTAGCGTAGTGTAGTATTACGACTATGTAGTAGGATTTAGAGTAGGCAGAAACCTAGTTATTGTATTACTTAAGAAACCAGTGAATGAAGAGTAGATCATATAGTTAATGGATATAATAATATGTAGTTTCTCAGTTTGATCTCTTAGTATGTATGATTGGTAGAACCGATTATGATCTGGTTTTCAAAAAAATATTTGTGTAACACCAGGAAAAGACTGCCTCATTGGCCGAGTGGTCGCAAGTGCGACTGCAAGGCAAGGGGTCTCGGGTTCTATGCCCGGGTCGGGCAAAGTATTACTGGTTAGTAGCACGAAGTCTGAAAATGTTCCCGGTATATAGTAATAGGCTCACCCCCTATTACATGGGACTCAGGGACTCATAACATAAACAGTGGGTGTTACATTGTGCAGTGGCATTAAGTGCCGTAATGTGCACCTCTGCCTACCCCTTCGGGGATAAAAGGCGTGATGTTATGTTACGAAAAGATTTTAGTATAGGTATTAATATAACTGACTTCAAAAAAGAGATAGTTGAAGTTTTTTTAAATGTAGTTATTAACTCGTCGAGTACCGGTTTTATAGACACAATTAAAGAACAACAGGTCGCGGTCACCGGTGACCGCTTGGTGTTTGACAGTTTAAAAGAAATTATATAGGTTTATTTTGAAAGGACTCATAATTTTTTAGTTCAATTTTATCACAAAAGGCGAACAAATTCCATTAAAAATAGCAGATGTACCCGAAATACAACGTAACATAACATTCATCCTTTGCTCAATGAGGACATCGAACGCCCAAACGACGACATCCAAGGTCGTCTGACCTTGGCATTGATCGCACATGAACATGGCTTGGCTAGCCGCACTGTACTTCAATATAAATTAATAGTGGTCGCTTACGAGTCGACCATTGGACATGTATTATGGTTTCTACAAACGCAATTGATTAGCGTCTATTATAGTCCAGCTGAATACATTTCTGAGAAAAAAATGACATAATACGTATTCTATTGTATAGACCGTGTATCATCGCCAATAATATTATGCAAGAATTTATGGCACACTCTTAGCCCACTTTATATCTAAATTCCTACTATATATAGTGTTATTGAACTTGAAAAGTTATGACTTTCCTTCAGTGTAGCGTCGACAGTCGTAGGCCACGGTTCGTTATCGAATCACCCGTCAGACAATGAGGAATTTTATCTATATAATTCTCTGTCTCAGCACGTTACTAAGTCACGATGAAGCGGCAAAAATCTTAGCAGTATTTCCGATTCCTTCAATCAGCCATCAAGTGGTGTTTCGCCCTCTTACACATGAACTAGCAAAACGAGGTCATGAGGTCACCGTCATCACAACAGATCCTGCCTTCCCTAAAGGAACAGCTCCAGCAAATTTGACAGAAATCGACGTCCATGACATTTCCTATGACTTATGGAACAAAATATTCATGGCTTCAACTAAAGGGAATAAGGACGATGTGGTCATGGTGATGAGTGCTATAATGGATGCCTTAGTTGCAATAGTAGACGCTCAGTTAAAAGATGATAAAGTGCAAAATTTGATTCGTGATAAAAGCAAACATTTTGATCTGTTGTTATTAGAAGCCTGTGTGAGACCTGCTTTAGTGTATTCTCATATTTATAAAGCACCAGTGATTCAAATAAGTTCGTTGGGAGCGGCTTTGGATAATTATGCTAACGTTGGTGCCTCAACACATCCATTTTTGTACCCGGCAGTGACAAGACAACGTCTGCATAATTTGACTCTGATTGAGAAAATCAAGGAACTGTATTATGATTTTATGATCAACAAAATGTATGGCAAAACTATGGTGAAAGAAAATGAAATGCTTAGGACGCATTTTAGAGATGTTCCACCAGTGACTGAATTGAATAATAATGTGGATATGTTGTTCCTGAATGTGCATCCAATATTTGAAGGGATTCGTCCAGTGCCTCCATCTGTAGTGTACATGGGAGGTTTACATCAAAAGCCAAATAAACCATTGCCTGAGGTAAGTGACAATTTTATATCTATTATTTTATTTATTGAAATAATATGTAAGGAGTTTGATAGGTCTTGAACAAGGAAACATTTCATTATAAAGTAGTAAAAGGAATACTAAGAAAATGAATCGTGTACTATCAGATTATAATTATGTGTTTCTTATATTGTTATTGGAATAAAAACTCATAATTTTGATTAATATTTTCATTGGTAATAGGTTTGAAGGTATATTTAATAGATAACCGTGATATATGATCAATAAGGTCACTGTAGCTATTATCAACGTTGAGAAGGTAAAAAATAATCTTTATCTACCTGATATGCGTAAGAAATACTATTGATGTGATTTTAAACATTTGAATGAATACATATTCGTAAAATAATATATATTTTTATACCTTTTACGATGAATAATTTTAAGGTAATGACTTATATGTTCTGTGGTAATGACAATGAATACATAATATGTATTACTCAAAGCAAAAGTTTCTAGTTTTTTCAAATTGGACTTAATATAGTTTACCACTAAGTAGATTTTTAAATGCTTGTACAGTGAAATTAAAAAGTAAATTTCGATAAATAAAGGACTTAGGATACTTTACCTCCGGTATACAGATTTTTACTCAATCAAATCAAATCAAATCAATATATTATGTCCAAAAATTTATTAGGTTAGATCTATTACGTACTTTACTTTTATAATTTTTTTGGATTGGGAATACATTCATATATCTTTCTAACATCAAATAAAAAAAATAAAGTATAATATGTGTTAATTTTTATTTTAACTCGTCGAGTACCGGTTTTATAGACACAATTAAAGAACAATAGGTCGCGGTCACCGGTGACCGCTTGGTGTTTGACAGTTTAATGTCCGTCTCGTAGATTATTTTAAATCATTAGGCACGTATCTTTTATTTTCTTACAGAAACTAATACTTTCGAAGATATATTGATTTGAAATGTCGCGTGACGTCACTTCTATGTACATTTTACACGTAGAAATGACGTTTTAGCCCCACTCCTAAACTTTGATTCGTTTTATCTAAGTATTGTTTTATTATACGACAAAATAATAAAATACGTGTCTAATATTTTTTTATTACCTATTTACGGACTAATTAGATTTTTAATTTTCATACCCTGTCATCATCCCAATTAAGCCATTAAGCCCACCTTATACATTAGAATGTGCATGACGCCTTTTAAAATACTTCAATGAATATGTCTCATTTACAGGAACTCAAATCATATATGGATTCTTCTAAAAATGGAGTAATATACATAAGTTTTGGCACAAATGTAGATCCTACTCAGCTACCAGCTGACAGGATTGAAGTGCTCGTGAAGACACTATCTCAGTTACCTTACGATATTCTATGGAAATGGAACGGTGATGTTCTGCCTGGACGCACGGATAATATTAGGATCGCAAAATGGCTGCCACAGCAGGATTTACTTCGTAAGTAACACCCAGTTATATGATGATCTTGAACCGTTCTAATTAACTGCCTGTACATTTATTCTCATTCATCAATTTATTAATCATCTGGAGGCCCAATTACCCCAACACCCCTCTCCCGAACTCCTCAATACCTGAATCCCCAACAAGCCTCAAAATTCTAATATCCAAAAGGCCGGTAACACACTTGTAAAGCCTTTGGTGTTACAGGTGTCCATGGGAGACGCCGATTGCTTACCATCAGGTGATCCATTTGCTCATTTCCCTGCTAAACCCATAAATAAAATAATTGTTCAATTATCATGAATATCTCTTTCCATAAAGGTGACATCTAATATAACTATTATTCTTAATATAACTATTATTACTGTTTTTTTTTTCCCAAATGTTTTGTGGGTAATTTGAGTCTGACAAGTTTGACATAATGATATTTTCTGTTAATCTTGACGTTTCATATGGTTTAAGTTCTGACATGAAGTTGAATTTTATTTTATTTTATAATATTTCTTTTAATGTTGACATGGATCTGAATGTGTATTTGTAATATTAATATGTATAATGGTCTTATAACAAATTAATTAATTGCTGTCATTGGTGTAACCGTTGTAATTAATATAAATAAATAAATAAATAAATCTTGTTGGGTTTCCATCATCATATTATGTTTAATGAATAACTAATACTTTGCATAATATAAAATTACGCCTTTTATTCCCGAAGAGGTAGACAGAGGTGCACATTACGGCTCTTGATGCCACTGTCCAATCTAACACCTACTTATCACTATTTATGTTTTGAGTCCCTTGTAATAGGGGGTGAGTATTGATACTAATGATTTCTATATCTTTATTTATAGACCATCCGAAGCTCAAGCTGTTCATCACGCAAGCTGGTTTACAGTCAACAGATGAGGCCATATCAGCTGGAGTTCCTCTGATTGCTATCCCCATGTTTGGAGACCAATGGTACAATTCAGAGAAATACGAATACTTCAAGATTGGTAAGAAACTGTTCATGGAAAGGCTGACTGTTGAAGAATTTACTAATGCTATCAAAACTGTAATTAATGATGAAAGGTAAGAATTTGGTTTGTTTAACGTTTATTTTATTTATTTATTTATTTATTTTCAGCCATGATCCTATTACAATGACTTATTATAAAATCTTATTATCGTCCCACTGCAGGGCAAAGGCCTGCAGCCTGGCATAATAAGATTTTAATTTTGTTTAAAGTTAAAAAAAATATTACTTTAAAACAAATAGTTATCTGTACCTATCTTATATGATTAAATAATAATATATTTAAGATAGGTACATAGCTTTGAACGACGCCAGCGGGTACTCGTGCAACAAGGCAGTCCTTGAAGATGATACTGTAATGGGCTGGCTCCACCGGAGTTATACCACGGCCTCACAGAAAACCGACGTACACAAAAATATGTTATTAAAATCAGTTCACGTAATATCCATCCATAATAATGAGCCCATCTTCCTACACCAACACTATACAAAACACTAAGTCTAATAACCTCTTTCATACGTTTCCAGCTACCGAAAGAACATTGTGAAACTACGCAGTGTGATGCGTGATGAAATTGAGACTCCTCTAGAGCGCGCCGTGTGGTGGACGGAGCACGTGCTGCGTCATGGCGGCGCGAGACATCTGCGCGGACCTGCAGCCAACATGTCATGGGCAGAGTACCTCGAACTAGAATTAGTGTTCACCTTACTATTAGGGGTTATAACAGCAATTGCAGTATTATATGTAATTCTAAGATTTTTGTACAAAATGGTTTCCACAAATAATACTATTAAAAAGTCCAAACGTAGCTGATGTAAATTAATTTATAATAAATTATAGTGCTTTATAATGTTTGTAAATAATATAGTTAATTATTTTTTAAAGTAAATTATTGAAAGCAATAAAATTTTGTAAATTATTTAACTTGTTTTAATACGTTTTTAATTATTAAACATACATAATATGTATATAGGTAACTAAAATATATGTATATAGGTAACTAGAGGTATATAAATATGTACAACTTAAAATTAACTACAACTAAACTATTGAATAAAAAGAATATGAGAAAAATCAATAACAAAATTTATACCCTAATTTAGGCGTCAGTCTTCATCAGCATCACTATCACCGGTGTTCGTTCCCAGAAGATGGGCAACATACGTTGAATGGTAATGTTTATTTCTGTCCGAAGAAATAGCCAGCCTTCTCTCCCTCTGGTCACGTGTACAGTTTAATAAAATCATCATTCATTTACCACTACTTCATCATTTAAGTGTGGGAGAGCCATGCTTCAACATGAATGGGCCGGCTCGACCGGAGTCATAACATGACCTCACAGAAGACCGACGTGAAACAACATTGTGTTATGTTTCGTCGTGTGAGTGAGGTTACCGGAGGCCTAATTACCCCCCCCCCCCCTCCCCAATCCTTGAATCCCCAACAAACTTCAATTTCCTAATCCAGTAGGCCGGTAACGCACTTGTAACGCCTTTGATGTTGCGTGTGTTCATGGGCGACGTCGATTGCTTACCGTCAGGTGATCCATCTGCTCGTTTACCGGGTTATCCCATAAAAAAACTATAAGTTTGAAATCAAAACTTATACTTGGTCGCGAAATATAAACTACAAGAAAAGAGCGTATCCCTTTTTAAAAGGCCGGCAACGCACCCGGGCTCCTCTGGTGTTGCAGGTGTCCATGGGCGGCGCTGATCGCTTACGATCAGGTGAACCTTCTGCTCGTTTGCCTCCTATTCAATGAAAAAATAAGGTTTTGTTCGGTAAATCCACGTGGTGGTAGGCCTCACTACTATCCTACGACAAAAATTAACACAAGTCATTCCGAAATAAGATTTGACGTACATTGACGATACGTTATCAGATTTTAGGTGACAATCTTATCAACAAGATACAAATACGCTTACTATTGTTAACAACCAAATGTAGGCTTCAATTATTTCGTAATAATTGACAATAATGCTCCCTTATATAGAATGTTTTGTACTAAATAGATCAGTTTCATCCATGCGTATCAAGAGTGAACACGTGTTAGGAAAAACAAACAAAATGTTGTTCTTCGTATACTTAATCTCATTTTGCTCGTTAGTTTTAGATTATAGTGAGTCTGCTCGAATATTAGCAGTATTTCCCGTACCGTCTATTAGTCATCAAGTAGTGTTTCGTCCTTTAACCGAAGAGCTAGCCCGAAGAGGACATGAAGTTACAGTTATAACAACAGATCCTGCCTTCCCTAAAGGAGGGACGCCTGCAAACTTAACAGAAATTGACGTTCATGATATTTCTTACAATCTTTGGAAAAGTGTGTTCATAGAACCAGCTACAGGAAAAATGGACGATGTAGTTCTAACTTTAAAATTAATTTACGATGCCATAGCGGCGATTGCAGATGCCCAATTTCAAGACAAAGAAGTACAAAAAATAATTCGTGATAAGAACAAAAAATTTGATCTCCTGCTATCTGAAGCTATTGTGAGACCTGCCTTAGTATTTTCGCATATTTATAAAATACCTGTGATACAAATCAGTTCGTTTGGTGGAGCTTTAGACAATTATGAGAATATTGGAGCTCCAATAGATCCTATTCTTTATCCAGCCATTACTAGACAAAGGCTTCATAATCTCACTATTCTAGAGAAGATAACAGAAGTATACGATGACTATCAAATAAGGAGAGTTTATAGAAATCTTGAAGAAATCGAAAATAAAATACTCAGGAAAAATTTTGGAGAAGATGTTCCTCCAGTCTCGGAGTTGAATAACAATGTGGATATGCTGTTTCTGAATATTAATCCGATATTTGAAGGGATACGACCGGTGCCTCCATCTGTAGTGTATATGGGTGGACTACATCAAAAGCCTAATAAGGAATTGCCTGCGGTAAGTTCATAAGGTATTCAACTTTAAGTCGCATCTGGTCTCAAATCTAAGAACAATGTTCTCACAACACCAAACGGTTTATAATTATTAAGTACTTAAAGATCTTTAATTCTATTTGAAGAACCAAACATTAAAATTTCACGTTCAACGGCTGTTATTGCGCCTAACTAAAACTTTGCTTGTCTTTACTTTCAGAAACTTAAATCTTACCTAGATTCTTCTAAAAATGGTGTGATTTACGTAAGCTTTGGAACAAACGTGGATCCTACTCAATTCCCAGCTGACAGGATTACAGTTCTCGTGAAAACACTATCTCAGTTACCTTACGATATTCTATGGAAATGGAACGCAGATGTTCTGCCTGGACGCACGGATAATATACGGATAGAAAAATGGCTACCACAATCGGATCTTTTAAGTAAGTTGCTTTTCTACCTTCGACGTTGTCCACCCACTAGGCAGATAGATGATTTTTATTTAAGACCGCAGAGAGCTCCTGCTTGCAAATCGCTTCCAACCAACCAATCGCTCGAAGTCATTGGGGGTAGCCTATGTTTGGCAGGGGACTTCTTGTAACTCATTGGATTTCATTTGTTTTATTTTATTTTTTCAAAACGTTGTTCCTTATTAAGATTTTTCACTGTGTCGTGGGTGCGTTTTACAAACATACAATTCCACATACACATCACACCCAAACTCGAAACAACAATTTGTGGATTGCACAAAGAGTTGCTCCATGCGGGATTCAAACCCGCTACACGTTGCGAGGCAGCCGAAATGATGATATCATATTCAATTTGATGATGATGCCATCATATTCTTGTCTTGAGTACTGTATTGATTTTTTTTAAACATTTTTTAATTCACAAAATCTTCCGGTTGTTAGTGAAGCATGGATTTTCGCAACTCCTGATTCTATTGTAAAAACTCTTTATTATTTTTACAGAACACCCCAAAGTGAAGCTGTTTATAAATCAGGCTGGTTTACAGTCAACTGATGAGGCCATATCAGCAGGAGTGCCTTTAATAGCCTTCCCTGTGTTTGGAGACCAGTCATACAACGCAGAGCGATACGAATTTCTCAAGATTGGAAAGAAGATGAATTTGGAGACCCTTACGGTGGAACAGTTTACGAATGCCATCAAGACTGTTATTGGAGATGAAAGGTAAGAGTTTTTCATGGTCTATAGAATATTTTGATTGATCAATATTTGTGAAATTTGTTCTACGACGACGTTATTAAAAACAGTTAAAGTGAAAGACAATGTTTATATTGAAAGTTCTACACATGGTTGTTGTTTAAAAGTCTTCGCACACCTTACAAGCCCGGCTCCGGCACAGTTCCAAGCCAGCAATTAACATGTCATTTAAATATGAATATTACATATTTCATATCGATAATATAAAAAAGCTGTAAGCGCACCGGTCGTGTGCCGCTCGCGCGCAGGTGTCATGCTTAAGCCATGCCGGAGCCGTTCCAGAGTTGTGCTTATTAGTTGTGCGATGACCTATAGCAGGGCTGTCCAAACTATAAACCCTCACAGGCTAATTAAATTTCTTATAAAAGCTGGAGGGCCGGAAAAATATTTTCAGTTGTATAATGACATTTAACATTATATTCTTTATTCACAGACAAAACTTATATACAAATTATACACTGAATTTTATTATTGTTGTTGCACGTAAGATAAAGATGTTGAGATTAAAATATCTGTCGGCCATATATGTAAACAAGCCAACGAGGCCTTTGTTTGGACAGCCCTAACCTATAGTATTTAGAAGTTGAATTCAATACTTATTTTTAGAGTCATATTTTGAAAAGAAGTGACATGTTTTTTTGCCTATAGAAGCATAACTGTCTATACACTAACATCGAAAATTAAAAGCATTTAATTTAATTAATCCATGTTCAGCCAGGTTTGAAATGAAGGCATATGAACAACTAGCTACTTCCGCGCGGTTTCACACGCTCTGCTCAGCTCCTATTGGTCATAGCGCGATGTTTTATAGCCTATAGCCATCCTCGATAAATGCTCTATCCAACACAAAAAGAATTATTCAAATCAGACTTGTAGTTACGGAGATTAGCGCGTTCAAACAAACAAACAAAAAAACAAACTCTTCCGCTTTATATAATAGTATAAGATTTTTTTCGTTTATTTTCAGTTATCGCAAGAACATAGAGAAGCTCCGCAATGTTATGCGTGACCAGCCTCAACCTCCTCTAGAGCGCGCCGTGTGGTGGACGGAGCACGTGCTGCGTCACGGCGGCGCGAGACATTTGCGCGGACCTGCAGCCAACATGTCGTGGGCAGAGTACCTCGAACTAGAATTAGTGTTCACCTTACTATTAGGGCTATTAGCGATAATTACAGTATTATTTGTAATTCTCAGATCTTTATATAGACTTATTTTAGAACAAACGAAACCTGTCAAAAAGGTTAAACATAGTTAATGAAAATAAATTGTTTGTGAATATTTTTATTGTAAAATTTGTAATACAGGTTTTATAAGTATGATCACATTTTGCCCCTTTATTTTGTACTAGCTGTTACCCGCGTCTTCGTCGGCGTTGAATAATGACTTCTGGCAGACTTAATTTTGAATTAGTTTTTATCAAGGGATATTCTACGGTAATTAATGTCGTCAGAATTGATTCAGTCCCGTAGGCGATAGTGTGATAGTTAGCCTATGTGTTGACCCGACTTGTTAGTATTAGTAATATTCATGCAAAATTTGAAATAAATCCATGCAGTACTTTTTGAGATCATACCGGACATACATACAGACAAACAGACAAAAATTCTAAAAATTATAGATTTACGACCCAAGTATTCTTTAAAAAAAAAAAAATCAATGTTCGATTTTGACTTTTCTACGATTTTATTATATGTAGGTATAGGTCATAAACATTATAATATAATAAGTAAACTGTCCACCAATAGTTATCAATCCTTTTTGTCGATTTAAACTGTCAAACACCAAGCGGTCACCGGTGACCGCGACCTATTGTTCTTTAATTGTGTCTATAAAACCGGTACTCGACGAGTTAATTGAAGAGTTGAATGGCTCCTACAATAAATTGACACTAAATAAAGAAGGGTACTTCCTCATGAGCAGCGTGCGCTGTCGCGGCGATGTCGCGCCTCCTACTCAGTAGACAGTCTACTAGCCCACTGTGGTTCGAAACTAGTAGAGCTTTTCTCAGTATTTTCATGTGAGTAACCCTCGATTTTTAGTCAATTTAGTATGTGCACGATAGCTATTATAAAAATTAATTCACCAAAATGTAGTGAAGTCAGTTTATAATTTAATCACAATTACATGAAGTGGTGAAGATAATAGATAAAACTTTATTCTCTAATCTGTTATAAGGTCAAATTGCAATAAATAACATAACATAACATCACGCCTTTTTATCCCCGAAGGGATAGGCAGAGGTGCACATTACGCCACTTAATGCCACTGTACAATGTAACACCCACTTTTCACTATATTATTTAGTTATTTTAACGCAAGTCACTCAATAAATAAACACAAGTATCAGTTATCAGTTATTGATAAAATTTTACTATTTATAAGATAAAATATTTTGCCGAATAACCATAACAAATAAATCAATGACCACTTTTTGATCCAAAGTCCAAAGTCTGTTTTTATATATAAGTACATTTTTTATAACAAACATTTCAGTTCGTTGCAAACTAGTCTACAGTATACATGTGAAAAATATCAGAAGGCGTAAATAAATAAAAATGTTATCTTTTGTATACATTATTACGTGTTGTGCCTTTCTTGTGAATCAAAGTGAATCAGCCCGAATATTGGCAATGTTTCCCGTAGCTTCCATAAGTCACCAAGTAGTGTTCCGACCTTTAACCCAAGAACTAGCCAGAAGAGGTCATGAAGTGACAGTTATAACTCCAGATCCTGCCTTTCCCAAAGATGAAGCACCAGCTAATCTAACAGAAATTGATGTTCATGATATTTCTTACGAACTATGGAATAGTATATTCCTTGATACGAGAAAGGATAATAAAGGTAATGTGATTTTTGCTATTAAGAAGATTTATGAAGCTATAACAGCTATAGTCGATGCGCAGTTTCAAGATGAAAGAGTAAGAAATATTATAGACGATAAAAGTAAACAATTTGATCTTATATTGGTTGAAGCAATGGTGCGACCAACATTGGTGTTATCTCATATCTTTAAAGCACCACTGATTCAAATCAGTTCTTTTGGTGGAGTAATAGATACATATGAGAATATGGGTGCTTCTATACATCCGTTTCTCTATCCATCAATAACTAGACAGCGACTTCATAACCTATCTCTACTAGAAAAAATAAATGAATTATACAGCTATTATCAGATTAATAGAATATACAAAAATAATGAAGTAAATGAGAATAAAGTGCTTAGAAAGAATTTTGAAGATCAAGTGCCAACAATTGCTGAGTTGAAAAATAATGTCGACATGTTGTTTATCAATATTAACCCAATCTTTGAAGGTATAAGACCAGTACCTCCATCTGTGATTTATATGGGAGGCTTACATCAGAAGCCAAATAAGGATTTACCAGCGGTAAGTAACTAAGTACGAACGTAAAACGATTTTAAGAGTAGTCAATTGGAAGATTTTTGGCCTAAAAGACCTCAGTTTTTTCCATCCAATTCTTACTTTTAGAATCTGCGTAATTTTCTTATCTTATTTTTCTCTGTCAGATATCATCACAACATGTACTTATTCTTTTATATTTCCTTGTCGCATTTTATCTATTCTAAATATTTTATTCTTCGGTTTTATTAATTTATTCAAATTAAAAGTCCCGATGAGCATGCGTGAAAAGACTGATGACTGTTGATGAAGCGAAAGAGGTATGTAAAAATCGTAGCAATTGCATTCCATAGTATATGTATAGCCCCGTGGTAGGTAGACATGAAGTTGTGCATGTATTCATTTATTTAGCTGATTTTCACATAACATAACATAACATCACTCCTTTTATCCCGGAAGGGGTAGGCAGAGGTGCACATTATGCCACTGTACAATGTAACACCCACTTTTCACTATTTATGTTATGAGTCCCATGTAATAGGGGGTGAGCCTATTGCCATATACCGGGCATAATTCCAGACTCCGTGCTACTACTGAGATTTTTTTTAAAACCCCAGTAATACTTTGGCCGATCCGGGAATCGAACCCGAGATTTTCTTTTTTTTTATTTACTGATTACTGATACTGATGAACCCGAGATTAGCTGATTTTCATACCTACCTAAATATTTTCTTAATCGTTTCCAGGAGCTCCAGTCGTATTTAGACTCTTCAAAAACTGGAGTAATTTATATAAGCTTTGGGTCAAACGTGGATCCTACTCTGCTACCAGCTGATCGGATTGAAGTTCTCGTAAAAACATTGTCTCAGATGCCACACGATGTTCTATGGAAATGGAACGGTGATATTCTGCCTGGACGCACGGATAATATTAGGATCGCAAAATGGCTGCCACAACAGGATTTACTTCGTAAGTGCCATCGACAGTTTTGCATGACCTATGTTATTGTATACTTTTTGAAGTTGAAATTTCGTATGCTAGAGTAAGTTGTAGAAGATTTAAGAACTAAATTAGCTTACTTTTTATCTTCTGCCTGTTTTCATAAATTGTCAAAAATCAAAATACCTATGTTTTAATTATAATATATTTGTATTTTTATAGGGCATCCAAAAATAAAACTTTTCATAACCCAAGCTGGCTTACAGTCAACTGATGAAGCAATATCAGGTGGAGTACCCATGATAGCTTTTCCTATGTTTGCTGATCAACCGTACAATGCAGAGAAATATGAATTCTTCAAGATTGGAATAAAGTTGAATTTGGATAAAGTCACTGTGGAGCAGTTTACGAATGCCATTAAAACTGTTATTGAGGACAAAAGGTGAGCCAATTGTAATGATTAGTTAGTCTTATTGAGGGTAGATACCTAATTTTGAATTTAAGGTTCGTTTGATAGATTATTTTAAATCATAAGACACGTATTTTTTATTTTCTTACAGAAACGAATACTTTCGACGATATATTGATTTGAAATGTCACATGACGTCACTTCTATGTACATTTTATACGTAGAAATTACGTTTTAGCTCCCACTCCTAAACTTTGATTCGTTTTATCTAAGTATTGTTTTATTATACGACAAAATAAAAAATACGTGACTAATATTTGTTCATTATCATTACGGGCTAATTGGATTTGTAATTTTCATACCCTGTCATCATCCCAATTGGCACTACTTTTACCTAATTCTACGCTATTCTATTTTTCAGTTATAAAAAGAACGTGGAAAAGTTGCGCAGTGTGATTTACGACCAGCCTCAATCTCCTCTAGAGCGCGCCGTGTGGTGGACGGAGCACGTGCTGCGTCACGGCGGCGCGAGAAATCTGCGTGGACCTGCAGCCAACATGTCGTGGGCAGAGTACCTCGAACTAGAATTAGTGTTCACCTTACTATTAGGGCTGTTCGTATTTCTATTAACTTTGGTTTATTTCATACGTGTTATTGTTAAAGCTATTTTCTCAAGTATTGTATCCACGCCTAAAGTTAAAAAGAATTGAAGACTGATTTGTTGTTAATAATACTTAATTATGTTAATATGTATTAAATTTTTGTACAGAAAGAAGCTATAGGTTTGTCATTTCTCAATTCTCCAATCCATAGGTAGTTCCATTGCTTTTTTATACATATGATGGGCCGACCTTTGGCCACCATCTCGCCTGGTGGTAAACGACGACGCGGCCTACGATGGAGCACGTCGTCCCATAAGCAACCTATTCACTCGGCTCTTGAAGACACCCAGACTCTGCTTTTTTCGTTTTTATTCACATTAATTATTTTCAACATTAACTGGACTGGGCTATTACATGCGTTGTTTTACTTGTAAAATTTTTTCAAAGTTAATAAATTCACTGGATCTTAAACCAAATTCGATTGAATTTGCAACACAAATCCCTGAGCATCGAGAAGTTACCATAAGGTTAAACGTCTGTTTCTTTACTCTTATCCCATACAAAAAATGCGTAGGAGAAGTCACTGAGCCAGACCGCCAACTATCAAATATTATAATTTATGTTCATACACACAAAGACTAAAACGTATAATGTAATATTTATGTTCATAAGGTCGACATACGAGATAATAGCTATCAACAAAAATGACGAGTAATGCACTTCTCACACGAGACTTTTAAGTGACAGATAAAAATAAAAACAACAATATCACTAGTCATTTGTACCAGATCCGTCTACACTCTAGACTTTTGATACATTACGTAACAAGGCAGCTGAGAATGATAAGAAATTGGCAAATGACAAGAAGTTTTTGATGACTGTTTTTATGGAATACGAGCAAACGGTATAGACTGGCAAATAAGGTGACGAATCACTTCGTCGCGTGATATATCATGGATATCGATTTCTGTCAGATTTTGAGGTGTTTCCCCTTTCGGGAAGGCTGGGTCTGGTGTAATTACTGTTACTTCATGACCTCTTCTTAAGAGTTCTTGTGTTATAGGGCGAAACACGACTTGATGACTGATAGAAGCGACTGGAAACACACCCAATATTCTTTCAGCTTCACTTTGATTTAAAATTAATACGCAATTTGCGATTAGAGCGATGAGAAAATGTGACATTTTGACACGTGTGCACTAGATCGATATGACCAAAGAAATAAACTGATCACCGTCAACATTTCTTTTTTTGTTATGAAACAATTAAGTTCAAGAATAATCACTATTTTAAGATTAGATAACAGATAAGGTTTGATTCAGATTTAGATACTGCAAACTGTCATGTGGTGCTTACGTATATTGTTACTCAGCAGAAAATGTTTTTGTTTTATTTTCGGCTGACTTTCGAACCTGGGTGGGAATCCCTTTCATGCAATGATTTATGTGTTAATATTTTCTTTTTAATGGCATTCAAAAATATTTGGATCTTGTAAATTGAAACTCAACCTACCTTGGGCGGTGCTGGTCACTTACAATCATCTGACAGTGTCGCGGAGAACCTAACGGGTAACCGGGGCTCCGGCTCGACGTGCAGGAGACGGAACGGGGTGGTTTTTAGTCAGTAAGAGTCTGACACTCCCTTCCGCCTCACCCAGGTGGGAGCAGTCCTTCGATGATTTTCCCCCATTAAAAAAACATTATCTGACAGTGTCCGTCAGTGCCCGTACAGTGTTCGTCTCGTGAGGTTTCACTATTCACTGAAACCTCACGAGACGGGCACTGTACGGGTAAAACCTCTGTGGGATTGTTCATTTTTGAAACCACGCAAATAAATTCATTTCTCAATAAATATAACCTAAGTACTGAATCGATTGTGAAGATATTTGTTACAGTTGTACAGCCGTAGAATATGCCTTGACAAAGACTAATTCAAAAACCCTATTTATACAGAAGTCGTTATTTCGCGCGGACGAAGTCGCTAGGTAACAGCTAGTGTATACGTATGCGTCCGGGCCTAGTGCAGGCCATGATGCGGAGCGAGGGGGACTGGGATGCCGTCTCCTCCTTTTGCGAAGCAGTCATGCTAGCTAAGGAGGAGGCGGGACGCGTGAGGCAGCGAAGCGCTGCCTCCTCGCAACCCAGCCATCGCGAAGGACACACCGGGCGTCGGGGATCGCGGGACGATCTCCGGCCACCGTGAGCGCGGGCCTGCGGACGGCGAGCATGGGTGACTCCCCGTTCGACCAGAAACAGACCCGAGCGTAAGGCGCGTCGCGTTCCGCGCGCGCCTCAAAGAGCCATCAGACCACCACAGATGGGGCCCAATAGGGCCGATGCCGATTCGGAGTCGCGGAGAACCTAACGGGTAACCGGGGCTCCGGCTCGACGTGCAGGAGAAGGAACGGGGTGGTTTTTAGTCAGTAAGAGTCTGACACTCCCTTCCGCCTCACCCAGGCGGGAGCAGTCATTCGATGATTTTCCCCCCTTAAAAAAAAAAAAAAAGTGTATACGTATTTATTTATAAGTGGTCCAATAGACGCAGTGACTGGCAGAGTTATAATGAACAGTAATTCACTGTTTATCAACATGACCGTTATCAGACATAATATTAAGTTGATCCTAAAGACAGCAAATCATCACACACTCTTTATGAAACAAGCTCTGGTGCATGACTTTGTTTGTTAATTTTTATATCTTAGTTCATGATATGGGCTGGCCAACTAGCATACGCATCACCTGATGATAAGCAATTAGTTAAAGAGTTACGAGTGCATCAATGGAGGTGGAGGCCCTATCCCCCATTGAGGTCGCGGAGAACCTAACGGGTAACCGGGGCTCGACGGCTCGACGTGCAGGAGAAGGAACGGGGTGGTTTTTAGTCAGTAAGAGTCTGACACTCCCTCCCGCCTCACCTAGGCGGGAGAAGTCATTCGATGATTTTCCCCCCTTAAAAAAAATCCCTTTGTTGACCTCACTTATGTGGCAAAACGCAACATTATTTTTCTTCCTGTAAAAATTCTTAGCTAGTTTGTTTTAGATGTAGAATAATAATGTTTGTAAATGCTGTATTTACCTATAAGTATTTGTTACACTTACTGTAAAAAACTCACATTTGTATTTCGACAATTGTATTGGTGTAAACAAAAGTTGGAAAATCATAAATAAATAAATAAATATTCACGAACCACCCTATTTGTCGTCAACGTCTATTCGCCACCACGATAAAATTTTGAAATTGATTTAGTTTTTTAAATTACAAACGATCATAAATGACCGCTCAGATGATTGTAAGCGACCAGCACCGCCCAAGGTAGGTTGAGTTTCAATTTACAAGATCCAAATACTTTTGAATGCCATAAAAGAAAATATTAACACTTAAATCATTGTATGAAAGGGATTCTCACCCAGTTTCGAAAGCCAACCGATAAAAAAAATAAAACCATTTTCTGCTGAGTAACAATATACGTAAGCACCACATGACAGTTTGCAGTATCTAAATCTGAATCAAACATTGTCTGTTGTCTAATCTCAAAATAGTGACTCAAATCTCAAAATTATGCTTAATTGTTTCATATCTATTTTCAACAAAACCCATAAATAGAAATGTTTACGGTGATCAGTTTATTTCCTTGGTCATATCGATCTAGTGCATACGTGTCAAAATGTCACATTTTCTCATCGCTCTAATCGCAAGTTGCGTATTAATTTTAAATCAAAGTGAAGCTGCAAGAATATTGGGTGTGTTTCCAATCGCTTCTATCAGTCATCAAGTCGTGTTTCGCCCTATAACACAAGAACTCGTAAGAAGAGGTCATGAAGTAACAGTAATTACACCAGACCCAGCCTTCCCGAAAGGGGAAACACCTCAAAATCTGACAGAAATCGATGTCCATGATATATCGTACGATGTCTGGAACGAAAAGTTTATGTCAATTTCGAAGGGGAAGAAAAGCGATTTGTATCAACATATACAAAAGTATCTGGAATCAATTGTATATATGTTCGATGCTCAACTTCAAGATAAAAATGTAAGAAATCTAATTGAAGACAAAAGTAAACAGTTTGATCTGATATTGTTAGAATCGTCAGCAAGACTTGGATTAATATTTTCCCATATTTATAAAGCTCCAGTGATTATGATAAGTTCGTATGGAGCTAGTTTTGACAATTTTGACTTGGTTGGTGCACCAAGGCATCCATTTCTCTACCCTATTTGCATTCGTCAAAGACTTCACAATCTATCTTTATGGGAGAAGATCACCGAACTATACCTTCACTTCAGATCAGAAGAAATGGCTGCAAGTAACTATGCTAAGGAAAATGCTATACTGAGAAAACATTTTGGTTCTAATATACCCAAGATTGAAGAACTGAATGGCAATGTTCACATGCTTTTCTTAAATATTAATCCAGTATTTGAGGGGATTCGACCGGTACCACCAACGGTGGTGTATATGGGTGGCCTGCATCAGAAGCCAGTAAAAGAGCTACCGAAGGTAAGTCCGTCTTTCATCACAATTTATTTATATAGTAACTTCATTGCCTTGCTTTTGCTGCGATTGACGTAGTCATCTTATAGTTCTAGTAATATGAAGGGTTTCAAATGTGCGGGCATATTTTCATTCAAGTTGATCAAATTAGATTAAAAATTTAACAAATTCATATATTTAATCTTTCCAGGACCTCAAAAACTACTTAGATTCATCTAAAAATGGTGTGATATACCTAAGTTTTGGTACTAATGTGGATCCTATGCAACTGCCATCAGACTTTATACAAACTCTCATCAATGCATTATCAAAATTGCCTTATGACGTGCTATGGAAATGGAATGGCGATGAATTGCCTGGACGGACTGAAAACATTAGAATTTCTAAGTGGTTGCCACAGTCAGATTTACTGAGTAAGTTTATTTATCTTTTTGTTAGTTGTGATATAAAGCCTAATGATCTGAATTAACTAAAATCGCGGGTTACTCACGTGAATATACTGAGAAAAGCTACTAGTTTCGAACCACAAAGGGGTTCTTCCTCATGAGCAGCGTGCGCGATCGGGGCGACGTCTCGCAGCTCACTGGCAGGCGTTGGCGCTCTTTAAACTAGGACA